TTTTCAACTTTCATTCTTTTTGGCTTGAACTCCGAGCTTTTTTCTGGACGAGGGTTTTTAAGGGTTTCCTCAAACCCTAGTTTCGCAGACTCCATACGATCCCGCGAAGCTTGCTATCACTCGTAAGACTTTTATCTGGCCAGTGGTGGCCGAGTGATCCGCACCCTGGGCATTTGCAGGTCGCTGTGTGACGACGCCGCGTGGCCTGCTTGCGCCACCACCGACCGCCCAGGTACTGGGGCCCGATCCCTGCACCGTAACTGTGATCCTGACAGATTCTCCATCTGGTGTTTTTTTCTTCAGGGTCACCTCCCTAGGTTTTTGAGCTACCGCAGCTTAAGGAAAAATGGAAGGAACAAGGGGGACAGAGAAGACAGAGTTAGAATAGAAGGGTAGAATGGAAACGACTCCTTAAGCCTCTCGCAACCTAATAGCGTGGGGCGGAAACAAAGAGTTGGCCGATACAAGATTGGCCTAAGGACAGAAAAACAGATGTGTGCCACAAGTAAGTGGAAGCAATGACACACAGAGTTTGTGGGAATGACGGAGTTTAGGGAGTGACAGCGGGACGCTGCTCCGATTAGTCGCCTTCTACGACAGGGGGCAGGTCCCGTGGTTCTTTTCTAACTAAATCCCCGGACTCCACACGGGGGTTTATTACTATTATTATTATTGACTATATTATTATTTACTATATTATTACTATTATTATTATTAACTATTATTATTATACTATTATTATTATTACTATTACCTATTATTATACTATATTACTTTACTTATTTATTATTAACTATTACTTATTATTTATATTACTTTATTTTATTACTATACTATTATTATTACTATTATTATTATTACTATTATTTACTATTATCTATTTAATATTACTATTATTCATATTATTATATTATTCATTATTACCCAACTAATATCGCAATAAGCGCAAGCTCTCCTGCTTTTTGCAAGGGAGGTCTGAAAGAGTGAGAGAGCAATGCTTAGGGGTGAAATGATGGTAGAGAGGTGGCAGGTGGGTGGTGAGAGTTGAACGATCCCAGCATTCGTTTATGAACCAAAGGAAATGCGCGGATCGAACCAGAACCTCGCGACTGCAAAGTCAGCCGTGCTATGCTCTGAGGCAAGTAACCAAGTGACCATTGTCTTTTGAACTGCCCCCTGGCCAGGCGCGGGCTTCGGGCTGATGCTGAGCGCCAGCCTGGCGTCGTTCAACGAGCACTTTCCGGCGGCCCGCACGGTGGCGATGCGGTGGCGGCAGGGCCAACAGCGCGGGCAGCCTGGCGCTGCCGCTGGCGGCGCAGGCGCCTGCGGGCGGCGCGGCAGCGCGGGCGGCCAAGTTGGCGCTGGGGCGGGGTCCCGCCGCCGCCGCCCGCGCAGTTCTGCTCCACTCGCCCCCCGCCCACCCAAGCCCCCGCCCCCGCCACCGCGGAGGCGCTGCTAAGCCCCGAGACGGTAGGCGGCGAGCCACGAAAGAATGCAATGGAATGAGATGAAGATTGAACGGATGAATAGAGGTGAATGGAATGAATAACTGGACTGAATGGACGAGCGACTGAAACGGAAAGAGTAGGTGAATGATAGAAAGAGTACGTGAGTGATGGAACGAAGGAATGAATGAATAAATGGAATAAATGAATGAGAAAATGTAGACCAGATTCTTACGTTAATGCTTTATAGCAGAATATTCAAGTATTTTCGTGTTAATATAAACATTTTTCTTAATTATAATGTATTTTTGGTTTTTGTTTACATTTTTTCTGAGTTAATGTGGATTCTCGTTACCCACAAATGAATCAGTAAATGAATAGATGTGAAAAACATTACTCTTGCCTCACACATATTGTATTATTACTGCCAACAACAAAGACAATCGTGTTTCCAATAGATTGGACATTGTCACAGAATTTATTATTATCAATACGATCTGTTGGAATCATATTGTTTTGATTATCAGCAGAAATTATGCAATGAATTTGAAGTAATAGTAAGATTTTCGGCGCCTATTTGTTTATTTATTCATTTATATCATTTATTCAATGTGTGGTATCAACTTTCACTATTTCCAAATATTTTTAGTCTCTTATTAATAAAAATAGCGTGACTGATTGCACAGTTATTCAGGGGGACAAATAGCTTAGGAAGCTGGGAAATAGTTCCTTATATCCCGAAATATCAAGAATATCGGATAGTGATTCATAACTAGAAGTAAAGTATCTCTAATTTTATCTAACAGTAGACTAAATTTGTAGTAAGAAGTGATAATAGTCTCGTCTTGTTACTCATATTTGGTTTATTGTAATTATAATAATTATTCAATTTTTATTAACGATTATTACTGCAATTAATGTTCTGTTGTTTTTAGCAGAGTGAAAAAATAGAGAAGTCCAACCCAAATGAACATCGTTTATCAGTATGCGAATCTAAAGAATATGGAACTAAAAGGTAAGAACACAATATAGATTTTTGCTTACTTGTAACTTTGCACTACATTTAATGTATTTCTGTGGAATAATATCATAAATATTCATCATTTAATTAGCTGTCAATGAAAAATCTGGATTGCACAGCCAAAATACTAAATTATTAAAAAATGTGAATATTACTCCTTCAAAACCAAATAATCTGGGTCATTTAGCCAATGCCAAATACGTTGTTGTAGCTAGTCGTTCGGGATGCGTATTTCTTATCATCTCCCCTTGACAATCACGCAGGTCCTTGCTCACACGCACCGTCTCTCGCGAGCGTTGTTGAGCAGGAGCCCTGCGCAGGGCGCTGGCGGTTGCGCATCCGCCTCTCACTTCCGTCGCTTTTCTCAATCTCCCTGTTTCCACCTCTGATTGTCCGCATTTCTCTCTGCGAGGATTCACATCGTCCACGTGATTTACCATTTTTAATAGCAATGCTCGCATTTGATTGGTTGTTAGTGATTCCGGGCGCGTCAACTACTCAGGTCATTAGTCCCGTAAGTGTTGTGCATGTTTTGTGCTCGGGATATGGCTGTGGCCTTCTTCTGGGTTCGTAGGCTTCCGCGGCCGGAGTCAATGCATTTTTGGCAATTCGGGATAAGCCACGTCTCGGTCAATTGTACTGACGTTTCGGCTATCTTGCTGTGACCTTTTTCAGAGCTATACTGCTGCAGTAGTCTTCTGCTGGATGGCGAGATCCGGCGCTCTACCGTCTACGGTTTTCTCTAACCAGACATCTCCCACCAGCAGAGCACCGCCCCAGACGTGACAAGCTCTACGCTCCCGATCGCTCTTCCGGCATGTGTGGAGGTGTATTGCATGTTAGTGTGTGTATGTAAGGGGTGAGGAGGCGGAGGAGGAAGGGAAGAAAGATCTCGCGCGTTCCGTCGCCGAATGTGAGGTTACTGCTCTACCATTCTCATGGTGTTGATCGGAGAAATCACGGAAAACTACCGATCAGAGCAGCCGGCCTCTATAATTCTCCTCCAGCGACAGAATTCGCAGCATATACTACACTATCGCATACACGGGAAGAGCAATCGGGAGTTTGAGCCTGTCTTGGATGTGCGGTGCTCCGCTGGTGGGAAATATTCCGGTAACCGAACTGCAGGTCGAGGCTGGACCCAGTGAGGACGAACACCGCCACCACCCACAATTAAAACATGCTCTGCACTATCAGGCTAATGACGTTACTCCGGAAGGTGCCTGGAAATCACTAATCATTCAAAGTATGAAAGTGCTTGAACTGGCACGCTTAGTCTGGGCCCGCCACTTTACCCTAGTGCTGCGTCGCTCTCAATCTCTCCTTTCTTCGACATCCGTGCTCGTCCCTCCGCCCCCGAGCACCTAGCCGAGTGGTGGGCGTCGCTGACGGGGCGTGGGCGTGGGCGTGCGCAGGGCGTGGCGGCGGCTGGGCGCGGGGCGCGAGGCGCTGCGGCGCGCGTGGCGCGTGACGGGCATGGACGCGGCGCTGCTGCGCGAGCCGGCCGTGCTGCTGGTGGCCGCGGGCGTGTCGCTCATCCACGTGGCCGAGCCCAACTTCTTCGCCATGCTGCCGCTGCACCTGCGCGGGGGCGTGGCGCTGGGCGAGGCGGACGCCGCGCGCGTCGTGGCCGCCGCCAACGCCGGCGACTTCGCCGGCCGCCTGGCGCTGGTGGCGCTCGGCTGCTGGCTGGCGCGCCGCAACCGGCTCGTCTTCGCCGCCGGCGCCGCCGCCTCCGCCGCCGCTCTGCTGGGTGAGAGAGCGCGCCTGCGCGGCGGGGCCAGGGCTCGACGCATGCCACTGCACTGCCTCTGACTGGGAGCTCCGAGGGTTACACAGGATTTTCAACTCCAGCTTGTCAGCTGGTCGAATTCAGTCGCTGTCTGGACGAGAATTCTAGCGGACGGCTGCTCGGATTTGGACGCTTCACAGGGGCAACCCCTGTGAAGCGTCCAAAACCCTACCAGAATCCTAAGTCCTTCCAATTCTGGCCGTTGGGTAGTGTCGCAAGAGCGCGTGGTAGGAGGTGCGTTCGCGAAGATGCTACCTGGCGGTCCTCTTGACAACTGACTGCGACGAGACTAGACACTATACGAACATAATAAATATAAACGGAGGCTTACTTGATAGTGCATGCCTTGTCGGGCACTAGTGGTGGTGTGGGTGTGAGCGTGGCGCGGCTTTGTGGTTGGCAGCGCTGTCGTTCATGACGTCGTGGGCCGCGGTGCTGGCGCTGGCGGTGGTGCTGGGCGTGTTCAAGGGCGTGCTATACGTCACCTTCTTCCTCACCCTGGCGGAGATCGTGCCCACCTCCAAATTCCCCGCCGCCGTCGCGCTGCAGTTTTGCTCGCAGATCGTCTGCTCAGTGGTGGTCTCGCCCGTCCTAGGTACGTACCGCCCTCCTTTGTCGTTCTTAAAGGTTATTACTTTCACTCTCTCGCACGTCGTATTAAAGTTATTGCGCCGTAAAACGTCCATTTTTCGGCAGGGAAACTCTTATTGCCGGGCCCTCATAACACAAAAGTGAATAAATTCTGTTGCTACACATAGTAATTTTTTTGCTCTAGCACGTGGTGTAGCGATAATTTATGTTTTTGTGCCCTTGATATCGAAAAATCGATTGACTGCAAAACGTGGCTGTGCGTCTGTGGTCAACGGTTGCGCCTAAACAGTTTTGCAGATTTTCTCCAAAATTGATATTCTCCGATCGATCTAAACGAACTCGAGGCTCTGTGTGTTTCAAACAGATATTTCGATTTTTGAGGATACTTTACACGAAGTCTCAATTTTTTTAATTTTCTCAACAAATAGCTTCAATTATTTCAATTAAACTTTATCGTCGAATATCGTAAGGAACGCATAAGGGAATAGTGCATGTCTCATGTTCCTTGGTTTCCCACATTTTCAAGAATTGCAAAACTCCAATATTTTGGTGGGCGTTTTCCTACTACTACACTATTGAAGATACATAGTATTTCCTCAATAAAAACTGTTCCTTAATGACAGATCTTATAATAAGATCATATACAATTTTTTGAAAATATAAGTAGTTTTCGCATAATTTTGCGCGAAATATAGACAATTTAAAAAAATGTTTAAAGCAGTTTTTTCTCTACAACGCCACGAAACTTATTCTTAAAAAATTTCTGCTCATACAGTATAGAACAAGGGACGGTAAAAGAAATATGGAACCAGTCCCATTTTTGGCAAACTCTGCTGCTTTTATCAAAAATGGAAAAAGTTGACATTTCAAAACTACAAATTTGAAGATAAGGATTATTAAAGACAAAACTCTGTTTCAAAAACTCTGTCCCTAAAAAAATATTATTAACATTTCTTTGAAAAAGCGAATAGTTTTCGCGTAATTTGACTTGAAATTAATACTATAAATCACAGGGGAAAAAACGTTTATTCCAAAACAGCTCCATTTTTTTCCATCGATAAAAGAAGGGACTCAAGAACTACAAGAATGGCGTGGGTCTCACTTTCTATGAACTCTTAATTATCGAAAATTGCAAAATTAGAAATAATACGAGAAGTTATGAGCTATTGTTCATTTTAGAAGGTATGTGCTGCACACGCCTTTCAAATTTTTCGGAACAGATCCATTTATTCGAGTAAAATGTATTTGAATCCAGGTCATGATTTTTTATTATTACATATCGTAAAACGAACGGAATTAGAGCAGGAAATTTGCTATTATACCAATTAATATTTTAAAAGATGTATAAATTAACTCTTACGCACCGAATGTTGCCTTTCATTTATGGTTGAAAGATGACTGATGTCATGGAAATTCCTCATTCGTCATTTCGCGGGGTGTTATTATACAGATATAGTTCGAGTTATCGAGAAGTCCAAATTTACCGGAGTTTGAATTACCTTACTGTTAGTTTAGAATTAACGTGCCGACGAGAACCACATTACCGACGAATTCGAATTCCCGTGGGGATCGATTTACATACCGACATATTTGTCTGTAATTAGAGTTATCGAGATTCCATTGCAGTCTGTGTTTGAGGGTTTCTTTCAAATCCTTTCTACTTTTTCTTCTAGGGCTAGTGCGCGACGTGACTGGCAGCTACCCTGCTTGCTTCCGTGTGGTGGCAGGCCTCTTGGCCTTGTGCCCGCTTTCTTGGGGCCTCCACGCGGCGCTGCGGTCGCGCAACCGACGCCAGCGCTGCTCGACCGACGTCGCTGTAAGCTCTCACAAGTCGCTGGAGCTAGAACTCCTGTCCGTAGGAAATGAAATCTCTGTCGACAAGGGAAGATAGGGAATACTTTCTTTCCAGTGTTTTCTAGTACAAGTTGTACCTGCGTCAGCATTAACATGTGAAGAAATGCTATTTCACTTTATTTAAAACCGAAGAAGTGATAGGTTGCAATTGTTTACTAGTATCCTGAAGGTCATTCCGAAACAAGTTATTGTTCTTTAGCAGCTTTCGAACAGAACACCATTCATTGTCTGAATGATTTTCATGGTTACTGATGCAGGAACCAAACGAGCAAGTAAGTAAATGTTTGAAAAGGGAAGTAGTACTCTTACCGGGCCTCTTTCCATATTTGTTTTGTCTTGATTGAACCAGCTATTACATGGAAATGGTAGAGGTCCAAAACTCATAATGTGGCATGATCAGATCATAGTTATGTAAGTTAAATGTTTTTACACTTGGTCTAAAAATTACGTTAATAAGCAAGTAAAATATTTCGATATCAAAGATTGTTTGTCAAAATTGCGTAACAGTGTGCAATGCTACGAAATACGATTTCTGTCAACTTATTAGACAGATTGCACACAGATGCTACCAGATAGTGCGCGGACCACAATATTAGAGGGTCTGTTTTGTGACATTTTATTTATAAATTAGAAAAATTATTGTGTTTTATTAAAATTGTTTTAACAAACGGTCAAGTTTTTTATTAACTTCTCCAGAATTACTAAAGATAGAAAACCAAATTATAAGCATACAAGTGGTCAAAATTACAAAAATTATAAATTATGTAATATTCTAATGTAGGTAATAATGTAATCAATGAAGTTCTTTTTGTTTTATTGAAAACCTTTAACACTTTGTATAAATATACAGCAAGACACTTTTGAGATGCCTTCTGGTGAGCTATTGGTATCTTTTAATGTAAAAAATAATCAGTGTCATTGGTTCATTGTCTGTAAGGCAGGGAAGTCACTCTCTCAACAAAATACAAATCTCAAGCAAGTATTACTTGTGATAAGATTATGTTTGGAAGAAATAAAATTGTGCTAAGCATTAAGAAAATGTAAATGATTCCCCTACAGGCCTAAAGGGTACACAAGGAAGTTATGTAGGCAACGTTACAAATAAATGATAATTTGTGATTAAAATATATTTACATAGTGTTTTCTGTTCTGTTGACAGTGTGTATTTTTCAATAGAGGGTTCACCTGGGTTCAAATTGAAAACAATTATTAATATTTCAGTTATCTTTTGGTAGATATGTTTATGTGCATTTCTTTTGCTAACATTTGAAATAGCTGTAAAGTTATAATTGGGTAATGAGATTTTTAGAGAACTAATTAAATATAACACATTCACAGAAATCCTTGTAAAAAGAATCATAATTTATTTCATTCATCTAATTTTTGGGCAGTAATAAGGAAGTAGAAGATAGATTGACATATAGGTGTTGTGGTGCGTTATCGTTGGCATTTTTCATGAAATAATTATAGACGTTGTCATTGCCAACAATAGTATTTAATATAAGAGCAGCTTTCGATGGCTTAGCCATCATGATCAGATGATCAGATCAGAGATCAGATGATGATGGCTAAGCCATCGAAAGCTGCTTTTATATTAAATACTATTGTTGACAATGACGTTTATAATTATTTCAGATATATTGACATTAAACTTTAACTGAGAATGACATTTTTTTAAAAAAGGCAATAACTAGTCAACATTTTTGTATAGTTAAATTTATAACTTTCAAAATTATTTTTGAAAGTAAATAATAATTTTATGTTATCAGTCTACAATGTAAATAATGTCACATTAGAAGACAGTTTAATAACTCATAAATTGTTGTTCAAGAATTTTTGGTTAAAATTTAGTATACGGTACACCCTTAGAGAAGCGTGGCGGCGGGGCTTAAGCTCTTATTACTGTACGTGCTCTAATAGAAATGAATAAAACTTACGGATAGGAGATTTTCATGGCTCTTCATACGCTTTGTCCTCGCCGCATTGTGACGCCAATTTACTTTGAAAAGCAAGGTTTCTCGCGTCGCTCGCCCGGACACAAGTCACGGCGAGGCTTGGGCCTTCGGCCATTGCGTTCACTATGAACATCCTTGAGTCGTTTCTCACGTCAAACCAATAGAAAACTGCAATGTCTCACAGTCAATAGAAACTCTTATTTGGCTTACGTTTATGTTAGACATTGTCAATACTACAGTTTATCACTTATGTTAATGTTTACGTTTGCATTGTGAATGGGCCTAGGTTTCGCACTCTATTAGTCAGAATGAATACAACAGTTATACAATAAACAATATAAAAAGCCTCAGTTAAAATTGGTTGATGCTTTGAGATGACACTGCAAACAGTGGTAGAAGCTTCATCAAACACTTCGCAGAGAAAACATCTCAAATGATCGCCATCAATGAAATAAAATTTGTTAGGTTCTTGAACATGAACACAGCTATGAAGCTTTTTCAAGCAAAAGTCTTAACAGTCATTGCTCTCGGTGTTGATATCTGGAAAAAAACTCACAATAGGAAAATCTATACTACCTGGAAAAAGTGATATCCACGTTTCTAAAACGAGCATTGGGCATATCTAAAAGAACAATATCTAGTCTGGCATGTGTACTTTTCCAAGAGGCATTCTTGGTGGAGGAGCTCAGACTGCAATTCCTCCTACCAGATACCAATGCAGCGGAATCACTTTGTTTTACAAAGCATGAAGAGGAAAAGAGAGGAAATATGGCCAGAGTTCTATACTACCGAGGCGATGTGCAACAGAACGGGCATGTCAGCAGGCTACGAGGTGCCTCGCGTTTTCACCACATGACGTGCAAAATGAAAACTTTCCACTACTCAGGAAAAAACCGCATGTGCAAACTTGGAATCGTCTGCGGTTTTCCAAAATTTCACAAAATATCAAACCACAAAATTGAAGATAGAGATTTTTGCCTAGGCAAATTCCGTTGTACAATATTGACTCTGTAAAAAACGTCACGTACAATTAAAAACAAACAAACAAGCGAACGAGTATTTGCCTAAAGTCTGCATGTAGCTGCTTGCAATACCGGAGGAAGTACGTGCTGTTGTTGCCCCACTAGTTCAGCTCGGGAATAGCCTGCGCAGAACGCCAGGCGATGAGCCGGGGCACGCTCTCTAGCGCCGCCCCCCGTTTCAACATTATGTATCTGTTTTAGATAAGGCGAGAAAGTATGTGCTGCTGAGGTCCTCTAGTTTAATAACTCGTACGGTGAACATCTGGCAACCCCTTGATTGTTTTATATAAAAAAAAGTTTTGGGTTTACAATAATAGAGATTAGGTAGGATACCCTTTTCGATAAGTCAAATGTGGTTCGTTCTTGTTCAGATGTAATTGTGAACAACTAGATTCGTCTTTATCTCTGTCGATCTTAAGATATCTCCTGCAGATATTTAAACAGTTTATTCAGTTTCGTCAATTGTTTATTTTTCGCATAAATGTAGTTGCAAATTAAAATTAAAATAAAGATTGACATCCTGAACAAAACCACAAAAATAGCCAATTAAGAAATCTCTTTCCCCTGCCACCAAAAAAACCTATAAAAGGGAATAAACATCCAAATTAAACCCCCAACTTGGCAACACTGGAGAAATTTTATAGTAAACGGTCTCGTGTGGTATTACTCGCGCAACTTTCATTGAACGCTGACCTTCTTCCCCCTCTCTGGCACAATAAAAAGTTGAGGGCAAAAGCTCGCAGCGAGCACTGACGTGTACATTCCCAAAACATGTTCACTGGCGCGAAATAGAAACTATTTTATGTTGAAGACAAGAACTGTGCGATATTTTCTCCAAAAAAACTAAAATGACCAAGAAATGACCAAAGCACATGAAAATCCATTACAGGGGATATCTCGAATTCCTGAGAAATTTAGACGCAAATTATTGAGAAAGTTGCGAAGGCGTGACTGATTTCCCAGAGATTGGCATTGCTTTATAAAATCTAGAGGCCGATTTCGTGTTACCCCACTCTACCCGCATTTCTTCAATGCATCGTTTAAGAAAGGTGCGCGAGTAATATCAAACATTGCTATTTTGCAACGCATGAAAATTGAATATGCAGTCTTCTATATGAAATAAATATTTTAATTCGTTGCATCAACATAAACTATGTTGATGGATTTAATTAACAATTTATTGAAATATTTTTGATAATGGATCAGTAAGCGGGTGACTTGGAAATAGGGAAGTTTAACAAGGGCTAAATAAAATTGTCAAATTTATACTAATTTAATTAAACAATACAAATAATACAGGAGGTATATTAGCTTTTACATTGTTTTCTGTTAAAACACAATTTTGGAGGTAATAACACTACGGAGCAAGATTTTTACCCCAGGATTGAGGACTGCGCAACTTACTCACGTTTGTATGTAGGTTACGAATATTACGTTACTGTTTTTAAATATAGAAATATCTTCATACTGTATTTTGCTGTTAATGCAAGTACCTTTAAATTTCACTTATGAGATATGTAGAATCAATACGCATAAATCCATTTAAATATAAAAATTTTTTCAGTTCATCTATGCCACTTTCATGAGATCAACAAAATTGAGTTTCGTGTTTTTTTACCTTGTGTATCCAAAGAATTATTTTAGCCCCTTACCTTATCGCAAGTATAAAAGTATCCAACCATTAGAGTGGCATATTCTGAGTCAGTCGGTGTCATGTGAAACTGTACCTGTAGTGCGCGTAAAGTTCGTGTGTAGTTTGCGTCCGTGCATGTGCGAATCAACATGATAACTTCTGTTACGTTTGTAGAAGATTCACACCCAACTTCCAAGGAAAAAAAAATACGTGAAATTACAAAACTTGCGCGTTCTTTATACTTCGGCTGTCGTGTTTGGAATCAGGCTAAAGTAGGACGCTCACCAGTGTTGTCACCTTACAACGGTCCTTAGGTCCTTAGGTTTTCGCTCGCGATCTCACCTTCATCTTCCTTGTCCTATCCTCACCCCTTACACGCACACGCACACTAACACGCACTACTCTACCACACATGCCGGGAGACCCGTCAAGCGCTAAGAGCTTGCCCCGTCTGGGACGGTGTCCAACTTGTGGGAGACACCTGGTTGGGAAAACCCCAATAGCTGACAGTAGATCGACGCTGGATTTCGCCATACAGCGAGGGGAAGATCTCTGTGAGCTCCTGTGCAACGAACATGTACTTACAGAACTAATGACCGTGGTATTTGACGGAATCATTACACAATCAAATTCAATATAATTGAATGAATATATATTTTGGA